GAGTGTTATGGAGACCATGGCAATACCTATAAATAAATATGCAAAATAACATCAAGATTCATAATTAAAATAATATACACTCACAAGTAGTCAAGGGAGTTAAAACAGAGGAGCAGTCCTCAAAATGTGGTCTCCAGGGGCGCCTGGGTGGCTCAGTCAGTTAAGTGTTTGCCTTTGGCTCAGGTCATGATCTCGGGGTCCTGGGATCTTAGCCCCTACTAAACAGGGAGACTGCTTCTCCCTCTCCCGCTGCCCCTCCCCCAGTTTGTGCTCTTTCTTTCTCTCTCTCTCGCTTGCTCTCTCTCTCTCTCAAATAAATAAATGAAATCTTTAAAAAAAAAATGTAGTCTCCAGCCCTATGCAGATCCATAAACTGAATATTACCAGTCTGCAATGAGAAAAATATGGAATCCAAGAGCTGCTGTTTAGAAACTTTTATGACAATTTAACAGATTAACTTTATTGTTGACTTTAAAATATCTTAAAAATGGGCTTATAATTATTCTTTTTAATTTCATTTTTATTTAGTAATTCATTTTCAATCAATAGTTAACTTTTATAGTTCACAAAATTATTTCTGTAATGCATTGGAAAAAATAAACTTCCTCACAGAGAGTTTGAGAAACACTTTGTATATTGAAAACAAATGTGTTGTTGTCAACCTTAAATATGTTACACATATTTAAGAAGAAATACCATTTTATGGACATTGAAATTTTATTTTCATAAAAGGCTGTGCTGGTGTCTGGTCAGTTACTGTTTATCAAATTATTGTACTTGGCCAGAATGAGAGAATTTTGTTTTGTTTTGTTTTCCTTGGGCTTAAGCAACTTTTAAGTATCAAATGCTGTTTTATGCTGCAGGAGGATGACAACAAAATTCTGTTTAAATGACTAAATCATTGCTGAAACATAATTTAAGGTGGGGTGGGGGGAGGACAACAATCCTACAGAAACGTGTCGATTAAGTTTGTGTGCAACCAAATAGAAATGTCAGGATCTTCCTCCGCTTAAAATGCAGGGACCAGAGCATTGAGGCATGCGAAAAGAATTTGATTTACAATTTGAAGAAAAACCAGCAGTAAAATAATTGAGAGCTGGAAAGCAATCTCACTCCTGCCAAATTGCTTTCCTCCATGCATGCTCCATTTAGGAGTGATATTCAGATACTTACATTTAGTTGGTGCATATTTTCTTTCCCCTGTGAATATTCCATCCTGTCGGATTAGGACTGTTTCTCTGCTTGGATCAGCAAAAGAGAATATCCAGTACCCAGCACTGGATTGTGCCTGGAGTTTTAGAAATCGAACATGGTTGATTTTTTAGGTGCCAATGTTATAAGCTGGCTGTTAATGGGAACGTTCTTGGTCTCTAAATTGCAAACATGGGTTGCTTTCAAATAAGCTTTAATCTGAGTTCACGGGAATCGGGATATGTGAAAGTGCATTACAAATTGTAAAGAGTTGCTAAAATATTTAACAACAACACTAACCAGTGCTACCACTCCAGTTGTAATTTGTGTTGGAGGTTTAATGAGTATCAGCCTTGGTGTTGCTTTTGACTTGCTTTTCCCATGAAGTATTCATAGATAAAAGAGGTCTTCCCCTCTTGCCTAGGAGTAATTACCTCTAGGAATGAATCATATATTCATGGATACATAAATAAAATATAGGTTGTCCTGCTAAACTCTTGCTCAGTTTGTTCTCTGGGTCACATAGATATACAGTCATTTATTTATGATTTTTGAAAGTCAGTGGCAAAATTTGGCTTAGAATTTTGGGTCCCCTGCCATGTGTTTCACCATGGAAGCATATTCTACAAGAGCAAGAATTTTAAAGAATCAGAAATATCTGCATATTAAAATATATGAGGGGTCCTCTTTTATCTTTCCTGCTCACATTAGAAAATATTTTTGGTTGGCTTATGAGAAATGCAAACCTGACAAATTCATTTCGATAATTGCCTCATGCAAGCCTCTGACACTATGAGCTGGAATCAACATCTCATGGTCCCCAAAGGTAAGGCATAAAATATCATTCGGGGAGGGGAAAATAGGGCCATTGAAAAATAAACAGAAATAGACAATGCAAATTAGGCTTGAGCCAACCACATGCCTGTTTTAAATTTAAATTTGACTATAATCCAGAGCTGGCTATACCCTGGGCATCTAGAGGAAGATGGTGATGAATAAAAAAGGAATTTTTATCTTAAAAAAAAATTTGCCAAACCACAAGTTGTAAGGTCTAAAATTGACAGTTTGTGACTCCCCTGGCCAGCCATTTGTCTTATGTGAACCAGGTCACTCTTGGTTTTTCTCTCATAGTTCAGTTCACTTTCAAGAGCCTCCTTGTTCTTTGAATTAAAATTAAATACTTTTTGTCATGAGCTTAAGTCAAACCATGGTTTCATGTTGCTCTGTGGCAAACTAGGAAGACTTTAAGAGCAGTTAATGATGGATGGTGGGTTAAAAGCTTAAGTTACATGTGATTGTGTGTACACTTGTGCACACACACGTACACATGTGTGCATGCGCCCTTCACAGCCACATTTGCACCAGAAGCCCTCCTACCCAAGGTGAGGAGGTCCGTTAAAGCAAATAATCCTAGAAAAAAAAAAGTGATGCACGCATGACTTAAAATATTTTAACTTACAATGTATCTATGTGTGTTTATTTCCCCATCTTTCAGTGGCAAGTTGTTGTTTGTTTGATTATTTTCTTTCCCCAGCAAGTGAGGACTTCTAAAAGCTTTCCAAAAGTAAGCAAGGCTTTTCTAAAGCGAGGCTTTTCTTGAGTACAGGTCTGATGATCAAAGGGCCTCTACTGTTCCTACATTAACTACACTTTTCAGAAATCATCTGTCCCGTCCAGCCCGGGTTTCTGTAAACAGAGTGAGGGGTTGGCACCCATATGGCCATCTGTGTGCAGAATTAGTCTGGACTCTTAGATTCTGCTTGACGGCTTTTCTAGTTCTCTTCCCACATCTAGCTAGCAGTGATGCTTAGCAGTCCCTCCTTACCCAGTCTTTTCGAAGAATTCAACTTAGTTTTTATGGAGAACACTTTCTTTTTGCACTCACCTTTCATTTGCTCAGGTCTCATTTCACCAAACTTTTTAAATTCCAATAACAAATGATACCTGGATAAAGAGCTTTGGAAGAAAACTTAGCGGCTGCTTGAAATGTTCAAAATGTCAGGGTTTCAGACAGATATGCATGGAGCTTGAGTAGGTAGAGACTTACCTCCTTGCCTCCTTTCTGCATCCACTGAACATTTGTCACTAAATTTTGCAAAGAGATTGGAGATGATTTTTATTTAACCCTATTTTTCTAATCTCCAAAGAGCTCAGAATAAAATCGGTGACACATTTCCAGAAACCTACAGAACTTGATGGTCTATATTTTTTCATTAACTTGACCTCTGAATTCATCTTCTTTGTCTACATTTTTTCCCTTTTATGCTCATAGATTTTCTTTTCTATGTCTCATTATACAGCGAGAGAACTCCAATACTTTGCTAGAATGGCAATGTGGTTGTGCTTAATGGATGTTTGTTTTTGCTGTTGAGGCATAGTGTAGTCCATGTTATGCAAGATTTAGGTTCTAAAATTAGCACATAAGAGAAAAAAGTACTTAGTTGAAATTATCCTCACATCCCTTGAGAAGGCTCTATGGCTGAGTCCAACATATCATACCTCTAGAGGTCTAAAACACCCATGTTTTCCATAAACTTTGCAATAGATCAAGATTATGTTGAATATCAGGTGAAGGCTTGTTTTCAGGAATATATCTGGCAAAACATCAGTGTGTTTAAAAACTAGAGAGGTGTGGGATCTTCACACTCTGAGACAGGCCCTGGGAACTGAGATTTATGCCCCCTCAACTAAGGAATTTCAAAGCACATCATGCTTGGTGTTATTTACGTATGCACTCTTCCCTTCCAGATTAACTAAGTCTCATCTTTCTGAGAAGATAAGGACAGAAACTCATTATTTTCTCATTATACATTCAAGTAGGAATGCTCAGAAATTTTGAAAGAATTAAAATAAAAGGAAAATGGAAAATTTTTGCTTGCCTTTCCAAGCCAGGAAGAGTGCACGCTTAATTTTTTTTTAACTTAGTGTTTCAAAGATCAACTTCACTACTTTAAAAGTTTATAACCTAGTTTTTGGGTGGTCACACTACCGATATGAAAACAGACTGATTTTTCCAGATGGTTCTTAAATTAGATCAATTTTTTTAAACATTAAACTTTTAGAAAAATTTGTGCATTTGGATTATCAGGTCTCATTCTTGCTGTGTTTTCTGTAAATCTTGAAAGGATAGTTTTCCTATTTTATTCCTACCTTTACACCTCTTAATAAAAGAGTGTGTGTTTCACATATCCTATTAATAAACTAATAAACTATTAATCTTCAAAAGAGGACTGTGAATAATATCCGTATTCGTGTTTTCCTTGGTAGACTATCAATGCAAGGCTGTTATTTTGTGTATGTGTTTCTTTCCCATCCAAGACTAATTTTCTTTATTTAAGATGCCTGAACTGAAGCATTTTTTAGTTCAGGCGAAGTTGGGAATGTACCATTGGACACTTTTAAACCTGTGCTTCCTGAGGACACCCGATTTGTTTTGAAGGACATTGCATGATGATTTAGGTTTCAGAGTCTGTGCTTGCGTGAGGCTGCCTGTTCTTTCACTTACTTTTACCGAGTGTAGGACCTCAGATTGTCTAATCTCCTTGAACCTCAATTTCTTCATCCATAAAGGGGATATTTGTATCTCCCTTGTGAATTTACTGTGAAGATTAGATGAATTAATTTATCTAAGGGCCTTGGATCAGTGTTCATATGCTGTAAGTTCTCAGTAGATTGTTATTAATATTGGCCTTGATATGTGTGAGGGGGTGGGATCCACAGTGGATGCCAATGGGTATCACGTGACTGGTTGGAATGCAGCTGGAATGTGCTCAGGTCTTTCACCTCCTCCCTCTTCTCACCCCATGCAGGTGGCCCCAGCCATTAAGGAGCGGATGATGAAGAAGGGAAGCCTGATGCTGGGCTACCAGCCCCACCGGGGGAAGGTCAATTTCTTCCGCCAAGTGGTGATCAGCCCTCAAGTGAGCAGGGAGGACATGGACTTCCTCCTGGATGAGATAGACCTCCTGGGGAGAGACATGTAGCTGTGGCTTTTGGTTCCCCAGAGACTCGGGTCCTGTTCTGGGGAGACTTAGAGAACCAGGGCATCTGGGGACACAGAAGAGATGGCAGCCCTTCTGGTGAGAAGTAGGAAAAACTCCCTGGCATGGCCTGGTAAAACAAAAATGCTAAGGAAATAGTGTTAAGGACCCTTTAGCTGCCTGGGCACTACTGTTACTATAAAGGAGAAAGTAAAAAATTGATATTCTCAAGGACTGTCTTTAGGATACCACCTGGAAGACAGTTTAGTAAGTACTGCATAGGGCCTGGATTCTAAGCTTCCATTGTTCTTTCAAGAACATATAAATTCATAGTTGAAAGCAGTGGTTCTCAAAATGGTGGTCCCTAGACTAGCACCATCAACACTGCCTGGGAACTCATTAAAAATGCAGATTCTCAGCCCCGCCCCAGACCTACTGAATCAGACACTCTGGGTATGCAACTTGGCATATTTTAACTAGCCTTCCAGGTGATTCTGAGGCAAGGTAAAATTTGAGAACCAGTAGTTTAGTGAAACCTTATAAAGACTGAATGATAACTGATATTTTTCCAGCAAAGAATTACCTAACATTTCAGTGGCCCCTGAACCAGTGTCTGAAAATATGGCTGAGCATCTGTAGCACTAATCATTAGGGGCACCAGAAGTATATCAAAACTATTTTTAAAAGGAGAAACTATTTAAGATGTTTGCTTTATGAAGATATATCTTTTATGCAGCTGAATGTTTATTCTCAAAAGCTAAAATTAACCATTATCTACTCAAAATTACTTAAATTAGAGGTAAGGGTAAAGACAAACGTGTTGTAGCATGGCCCTTTCAATCAAAACAATAATTTCAATTCACTTCCCAAAGCACTTGTGTCATTAGCTTGGAGTAGACATTAGGCACAGATCTCTCTAACTGTGTACCTGTTTCAGTGTGAGGGGGCCCATTTCTTATGTTGTTCTCTGCTTAGAAAAAATAACCAGAATGAAGTCCAGGGTTATACAACATTCCCTTTCTCAAGCTTTGAATCGTCAGTGTAGACTATTAAGTGGTTTATATTAGGCAGAGAATCTGGGAATTAGAGGCCTTACAGTAAAAACACCTCCTCCATTTCTCCTGGGAGTGGATGATTATAATTCTATCTCTGATCCTGGTCCTGGATTTCTAGGAGAATTCTATTTGGCTAAGAAATAAACAGAATTCAGAGGTGTGGGTGCAGAGTTAAACCAGGTAAGATTGTGAATCTAATTAGAACTCTGGTTTGGAAGGCAAAAGATGGAAGAGCATTTAAGAATTAGACTTAGCGTATTCAATAACCTTTCATACAATATTACAATATCATTAGCTTTTGTTGATTGAATTTAAAGAGTAAAAAGCAAATGTGTACTGTTTGTTTTTATTCCATATTTTCACTTTAGGATATGTGGTTTCTCAATAGCTCCATTGGTCAAAGAATATTTTAATCTTTCTCTGAATTACTTTATTCTCTGGCGATAACTATTTGTGAGCGAGTGTGTTTCACCTACCTTGTTGCTCTTTTTGTTGTGATGTCTACATAAAATGTTCCTGAAATTGATGTTTGCAATAATTCTGGTTTAATGAAATAAAAAGCAACATTAGCACACATTTAGTGTTAGTGACTTTTTTTTTCCTGTCATCTCCTCCTTACTGGGTTGTCTCAATACATTTTAGAAGGAAATTGATTTCCTTTGGCACTTTAGCTAAAGAATTGAGGGAGCAGGTTGGAAGCTGTCTGTTTCTGAGTTAACACCTTGAATGGAATGGAAAAAGCAGTTCTAGCAAAGTAGGGATTTGCCTTTTGTTTAGTCTTCCACCCTCTACATGGCAAGCCTCGGGAACCAAATAGCCACAGCTCAGATCCTGTTGGGCCTCTTCTTGAGAGATGATAGTTCCTTGATGAATGAAAGTATGAACAAGTATTAATAGACACTTTGAAGATTCCATTCCTTTTTCCTTCAGGTGTTCAAATATGACACACCCAATCAGGTATTTGACTGAATGGTCAAGAATAATTTTTCAATAAAAGTAATAATCCATTCACATATTGAACACATTGATAGTGACCCTATGGTGTCCTAGGCAGTGATCCAGGTGCTAGAGATATGCAGTGAATGAGACAAAGTCCCTGCTCTTTAGAGGCTTTCAGTCTAGTTGAGGCAGAGAATCCAAAAGTAAATATGTAACAAGTCATGTGATAATAAGGATTTTGAAGAAAAATTAAGGAGAATAAGAGGGAAAAAAATGGAAAGGAGAGAGAGGTGTGCCATTGGAGAGAAGTTGGTTGGGGCACCATCTCTCTAATAAGGTGACATTTGAGAGGAAACTAAGGAAACAAAGTGGGGAGCCATCTGGGTATCTGGGGAAGGGCATTCCCAGTGGAGGGTATGGTAAGTGAAAGGCCTGAGTAGCTGCATTTGTGGTATGTTCAAGGACCAATGTGGAGATATGCAAGCCTGGAGCAGATGGAATCATGCGGTGAGTGGCAGATGACAAAGTCACAGAAGTATCTGAAAGTCAGTAACCTGGGCCCTGTGGGTGGGGACTTAGGTTAAGACAGAAACACTTGAGAATCTGAACAGGGTATTGATGTGACTCAACTTAGATTTTAGAAGGATCACTTTGATTACTGTTTGGAGAATAAGGTGCCCATGGGCAAGTGTGAATTCAGGGAGACCAAAATGGGAAATAATTACAACAGTTCAAACAAGAAATGATAATAGTTTATACTAGAGTTGCAGTGAGGGAAGTAATGTAAAGGGGTCCAATTCTAGAGGCATTTAGATGTAGAGTTGAGGGGTCCCTGTGTGGCTCAGTAAGTTAGGTGTCCAACTCTTGATTTCAGCTCAAGTCATGATCCCAGAGTTGTGGGACTGAGTCCTATGTTGGACTCTGTCCTGAGCATGAAGCCTGCTTGAGATTCTCTCTATCTCCCTCTCCCCACCCACCCAGGACTTGTTCTATTTCTCCCTCTCTCAAAGACAAAAATAAATTAATTAAAATAAATAAATGCAGAGCTAATAGTGTTGGCTGATGGAGCAGAGTGCTCCAGGAGAAATGAGGAATTCTGAAGAGTTTCATATACTTTCATCTTGGGCAACTATAAGAAAGGAATTCCATCACTGAGATAAGGACTGCAAAAAGTAGTTTTACCTGGTTTAGTCACGTAAAATTTGAGTTTCCTATGCCAGCCAATCAGATCTGATGGGAGGAATTACTTTGGAGTCTCAATTTCAGGGGGAAGTTGGGGCTAAAGTTACTAATTTGAGATCCATCAACATAGGGATGTTATTTCCCATTATGGAATTGAGTTCATCTGGACAGTGCCCATGGATATAAAGGAGAATTAGAGCAAGGACTGAGCCCTTGGGACTTCAGTTTAAGATGGAGAGGACCAGCAAGGAAGACTTAAAAAGATCAGTCAATGAGGCAGAGAAAGAACCAAGAGAGTGGTCACTCACAGGCCAAGTAAAGAAACATTTTGGGGGAAGGACAGAGTGACCAGCCATATCAAATGTTGGGGACAGGTCAAGCGAAAACTGAGATTTCCTTTAGAGTTGTCCATGTAGAGGCCATTTATTTGCTGAAATTTTATTTGCCAAATATAAGCATTTAAAATATTCAATATTCAATCAGATTTAATATTCAATTCAGATTCTATTCAATCCAAAGCCTTTCAAATTCCACTTTGGGCTTTTGATTTTTAACAATGGTTCTTTATTAGAAAAATATCTAGTAACATAAAGGGATTTGAACTGAAAGAAGTATTTCATTGCTAACTGGATCAAAGAAGATGAGATGTAGAAGCCTATAATAGAAAACCCAATTAATTCTAGTTTCTTTGGAAGGGTTTATTTTTCTCAGTTCAAAAGAGGTCCCAACATAGATAATCAGGAGATAGTATCCTACATTTGGTTACCCTGTGAGCAGACATGGACAAGGATTTGAGAGCAAGCAGCCTGTTCACTTGGCAATTCCAGGAAACACTGTTCAGGAGATAGTGAGAACAGTGTTAGGTAGAAGGAAAGGATACCTGGATAGTGAACATGAGTGAGAAAATTAATACTGTGACAACTGAGGACTATTGCTGCCCATGACCCCTGGGGAAGAGAGTAAAATGTACTTCAGAGATGTCCCATCTGAGGGCTAAGAAAAATGGGGTATTTAGCATATTGGTGAATTAATTGAATGGGAGCTGATCCCAGGAGCGTTAGCTCCTTGACCATCCTAATCATGCTTCCATGGCCTTTTCTGGTCTTCAAGCAGAGAATACAGGTGCTTACAACCAAAGCCTTGACCAGGATTGGTGAATATCAGGGAGATTTAGGAGGGGTGCTGATGGCTTTTGTAACAGCTAGATGGTATCCCAATCCTATTGTCAGGAACCCCAGATCCTTCCCTATTTTCACTCTGCAATCCTTAGAGATGTATTCAATCAAGTGTTACTCCTGGGTGTAATCTGAGCACTGTGTCTCTAGCCATCTCCACATTTCAGGCAGAAAGGAAAGGATAGAAAGGAACTTTCCCAGAAGCTACCCACCACCCCTTAATTTACCACAACTTCTCTTCAGGGAAGAATGGGAAATTTAATAGTTTTTGTTGGTTTTTGTGTGTGTGTATGTGTGTGTGTGTGTTTTAAAGCTAAGATGTGCTACTGTCTGCAACCACATAAGTAGTTTTCTTGGTGGTAAAGAAAAATAGCAGAAATGGATGCTGGGAGACAACCTGCAGTTTTTGCCACCATGACATATGCATTGAGTGGCACCAGTTCTGAAAGCATTATTTTTAGACAGCTCAGAAATTAACCTCAGTTGATAAAGTTTGATTCCATTCGAACTGGAATCTGGTCTGGCTGGTTCAAGCTGAGCAAGTTAGCTTTGCCTCATTCACAATTATCTAATCCAACTTCAAATGATCTAAACTGATCTGGACTCACCTAAAATAATTAGAACTGGCCCGATTCCAGTTTGAACCAATTTTATGTCCCCCTACCTCAATCACATTCCATTTGAGCTAGCTTGATCTTGTGGGAATTCATTCCAAAAAAATTAGAAATTGTTTGATTTTCTTTCAAATTTGTTCAAGAAATATTTTATGTGGTTTAGTTCAAGAAAAGTCAGGTTACACTTGCCTAATCCAACTGGATGCATAAAAAAGCCCCTTTTCAGAAAACTCCTGGCTTTAGGGAGCCTGTTCAAATAGCAGGATGACAGTAAAGGAACACTTGCCCAGTTCTCCAGAGAAAAATCACCTCACAGCACAAAAGACAACCCCAGGTTCAATTGGGGTCACATATGAGGAAAAATGAGCGCTCTCCACCTGCATTCTGTTTTGCACTCCCTTCTTTACTGAGATGAGACTAGTTAAATGAAGCATTGAATATTCAGACACTGAAAATAGAGGTCCCTGGAGGGAGGGATGTATGTGGAAGGCAGTAGCCAAAAATTAGAAAAATAATGTAGGCGTCGTGTTTCTTTAACCTCTTAGTCCTACAGGTGTGGTGTTTCTCATGGCTCATGGTTTACATGTTTGAGAAACTTCTAATGTGGAGAACCAAGGATGATTGCACCAATATCTATCGTTTGCTGAACCCATACTACAGCCAAGTGCTATGCCTGCCAGTACCTTCACCATCCTCATGAAATGCCATCATAGTGGAAATTATTGTTAGTCTCATTTTCACTTGAAGAACCTGGGACTCAAATAGTATAAGAAAATTCTCCAAGATTACCAAACTAGTGAGTAGCAGATCCAACAGTCAAATATAAATTCACCTCACTCCAGAGCCCAGGCTATAAACTTCTTCACGCTGCTCTAGCTATATGGAGAGGAAAGAGTCATCATGGGCTGATACTAACCATCTGACTGTGCCCGGCATCCCACAGTTTACTTGGCAAGCAAAAGCATCAAGAACCAGCTTGGTCTCAGAGGGCAATAATTATATCATACTGACTTGGCGCCTTTCTCAAATCAGAATATAGGAATTTTCTGACATGAATATTTTTGTTTTTGAAGTTGGAGGGCTGTAGAGAAAGCCTTTGGACTTGAAATAGTAAGAAATTTTACAGAGACCACAATGGAGGTGAAAATAAGTATTTTCTGAGCATTTGGTCCTTCCTTTGTTTTCATACTTTTTTGGGTTCCAGGACCACTGTGCTAATGCTTACTTGACATCTCCCCTCGGGTGTCTCACTCAAATTCAGTATGCCCAAAACTGACTCATGATTTCCTACTCTAATCCTACATCCCTCTTCAAGCCCATTTCTTTGTCTCTGTTTTCATCTCAGTGAATGACATCATGTTCTATTTAGTGTAGCAAACCAAAATGTGTAATTCATGCCTGAAACCTTGTCTCCCTTTCTCCCTCCACTGTTTGTTCTATGAGCAAGCCTTGTTGGATTTGCCTCCAAGACATGTCTCTGATCCAATCATTTATCTCACGTCCATTGTTTTGTCCAAATTCCAAACTTCTTTCACCTCTCCTCTGGACTATAGCAATAACCTCTTGCTGCATCCACATATTGGCTCTGCGCTTTGTCTAATCTACTTAACCAAACTGCAACCAGATTAGACCACGAAACTGATCTCTCA